AAAAAAGAACAATCTTTACAGAATACAGCAATGCGAATGCAGGTAATCACGCCCCGGAGAATATACGCCATCGCTGCCTCATTTTTTTTTTTTTTTTACCATCCAGTTGCAACACCATTTGGTCGCGGACTTCTTTAGTGTCGCAGACCCGCATGTCAGATTTAGAACCTTCTTGGGTGGATCGACCATTTCGGTTGGTTTGTCAGTATAGATATGCCAGTTTTTGCTGTTCATATAGGATTCTGGAAGGCAAGTGCGTTGACGGGCTGCGTTGCATAACGTAATTTTAAGCGCTTCTTTTCCTTGGGCGTTTAGTTCTATCTGGTGGATGCTAGTTTGGTGTTCTTATTATTTGACTGCGGAATGTTCTATTTAGGAATCCTGAGTATCCCGATTGTAATTGTGCAAGGTAGTTTGCAGGTGCTTATGTTGCATTGGATGCTTGTTTTTGTAGGTATATATTATGGCTAAGTCTTGTCTGGTTTCGAATACACATTATTCAGTCGGCTGCGTTGGTTGTGGGTTGGGTCACAATATCTGCTAGTTTGAATTTGCTTTCGAACCCTTTCCAAAGACTAGCGAATAAATCGTGTACATGTGATTGGGACTTACATAGGCCAATTCCTCTTTGGGAAGCGAAGCCGCAGGCCCGAACATGAAGCTCTTGGAAGATCTTTATATGGAACTATACAATGAAATGAAAGCTGCAAGCGAAGGAGTTGTGCTGACTCGGCAGAACCTCGATCACTCCTTGGCACGAAAAACTGTCTATGGATTCAAGTTTTTGAACTTGGCCAAAAATGGCGGGGATGACGAGCAGTAGTTATGGGATCTACAAAGCCCCGCTTAAAAATTCTTACGGTGGCTGGATTAAGCTCATAGATGAGAAGGTCGTGTTTGAGGTTTTGTTTTGTCGAGGTTTGGAGGATGTGATTCAATGAGAACCAATGCAGGGACTCGCTGCAATCACTGTGGGGTCGTTCCTCAAGGCCTCTCCTACCTAGGGGCCGCTGTTGACTGCTTTAGCAAACTCCAAGGCAAGTCTCAAAGACTTGGCTGGATGTACGGGAATTACGAGGAGGCATTTCGTGAATGCAATGGTTGCGAGTCCTTCCATCAACGTCTGCATTGATTACGATGTCACCAGGAATCATCCCTTCTATACCCACTCAGTTCTACCAAGGTCTTGTGGTATTTGGCAAGAGTCCGAATTAGGGATTATGTAAAAAGCTTTCATGGAAACCAGATCGTGCAGACATTCTGTCGCTTTTTGAAGGCCATCCGCCAACCGATCCACATCATTGGCTTCAGCTTCATGTATTACCGGCCATTGCCTACTACTGTAAGTACCGTGCAAGTGAGGGAGATCGTGGACTTGATCTGCAAGACTTTTCTCGACTGATCCCATAAATTAGTATCATTTAATAGAATTCGAATCAATCTGGATCACTGCCATTTGCTAATAAAAATTCTTTTCGCTAAAGGTTGTCAGTGGTATTCATTAACATGGCATGTTTTCCTTATCAAGAGGGCTAGTAGCTTGTCTATGACCTTGAAATTGCCATCCCATTCGTCTTGAAGCTGGGTAACAAGTGGAAGAAAAAGATTATATGCCAGTACTGGCACTTGGGCGATTCTAAAGAGAAAAAAAAAAAATTCTTATTCGAGTGCACGAAAATCTTTACCAACATTAGGCTTCGCCATAATCCATTCTATACCATGCAGCTTTTAGGAAGGTTTGAAAAGCTTGGCTTGTAGGGGTCCCTGTTGCAAAACAAGGCAACGGACTGTGAACCGAGACTGGAGGAAGCCTTTATATAATCAGCTGAGATGTTTCTTCTATGCAGATAATTATAGGAAAGCTGTCTTACATCGATCCTGGAGGATTTAATTTATTGTAACTGCGTTCTGGGGTCGGGTTGATTGCGCTCTCCAGATATCTTCCTCATGTTCGCTACATTTTAACCACAATAGATAAAGGAAATATGAAGATGGAAGGCCTTCGAGTAAATGCCCATATGGAAGAATGTCATGAAATTGTATCAGAATAAGAGCAATGCATTAAGTCAAATGACTATATCAAGGCAGGGGATATTTTGCAACGTCCGTTTTGTCATAGTATCTCCTGAGATGAAATGCCCGGTTGTCAAGGCGGGCCTTGCGGTAGGACTTATAACTCTTTTCCAGGAAAGTCCAGCGTAGGTCATGCTGGACTGAAATAGTTGTACATTTTCCCGCAGTCACCTCAACAGCCTGAAGAATGGTGGGGGTGGGGGTTCTTCAGTTGCGTTCAGTTATGATAGGAAGTTTCGATCAGTTGAATTTGCTGAGTCGTCGCGGGCTGCTGTAGGTATTTTGGATGCGTCTTGGTCGTCGGTGCAGAAATCCATGATGTACAAAAGGTACTACAATAACATGTAGTCTACGACCGTATGCTGTTTGTCGGACTTATTGCAAGAGCAGCAGCTCAGGCATTTACTTTCCTTGGTGTTTGAAAGTCTTGGATGCGTGATCATAAGTATACGCATACTCAGCAGGGTCGTAGTCCCAGCGGGAATCCGCAGTCTTCTTGTGGCAGACGCTAATATCATCATCATTGTAAGCTTTGCAGTAGGGTCTGTCCATGCTTTCTTAGTATAAAGGCCCCTATCAAGGGGGTTAGAATATCTTACCCTACTGGACCGGTAAACTTCTTGATAGTGAACCATGTTCCATCCTCAGCGCCAGCTTGGCCCTTCTTGGCCGGGTCATAACCCTTGATCCTGTTGGAGGAGTAGAATGCGGAAAGCGAGATCTTTTGCTCATCCTGCGACTTTTTGTTCACCGGGAATAGAAGGGCACTGTAATGGACCATGATATTAGCGAGCCCGGCTAAACCAGATGCAGTGGATCTCAATTGAACGTACCCTTGTCCACCCCTGACCGTTGATGCAAACGGGAATTCTTCTGCGGAATCCCAGTCCTGGTTGAGGCCCCATGCAGTAGTGGGTGGAAGGGCCTTGATGCCATTGGACGAGGGGTTCTTGAAGGGCTGCTTGGAGGCAGCGCTTCCAGCGGCGACTTGGCGATGCTTATCGGCATAACTTGATGCGATCTTTTGCCTGCATTGCCCCAATCGAATTAGTCAACTTGTCTTTCAACAAGCATGCCAAATATGTACTTCACTTACATAACTGGATCTTTTCCTCCGCACAGCATCGCCCAGCAGTCGGCATCATAGGTGAGAGCATCTTCACCGCGGATATTGAGCGTTCCCTGAATCGGGTCACAGTCATCGTTGCCGGTCCCCGTTGCCCGTGTCAGTAGTTCGCCGACCGGAGCGGCAATGGCCTTTTCGATGCCGGCAAGCGAGCAAAAGGCGAATAGGACAGTGGAGGTCTTCATCTTGCGACTTGTGTTTTGTATTGGGTGTAATAAGACCTGAAAAAGGATGTATAGTGAATATTGTAGCTGAAGTGATTGAAAAGCGAGTGCTTTGGATTCCTATTTATGCATTTTGGGTCAATAGGTCTGCATGAGGTTGAAACGCAGGCTCACCCAGTTTATCGGGTTTTTCAGCAAAATGCGCCTAATCTTCATCTTGAACGAGGCGTTGTTTGGAGCCGAACGCCTTTTTGAAGAATCAGGCATATTTCCGTGCGGTAGCTACACTCGATCTAAACGAGTGCTGGGATCAGTGGAAAGGCAGACTGCAGGATTCGATTTACAGTCGATCATAAACTGCTTTAGCTTAGGGCAGATATATGGGGGCCAGGGCAGTCTTCCGCCGAGGCTGGCAGCCTCCACCCGCTAGGTTGGTTCGGCTGAATCTCAACCCACCCGAGGCGTGGTCCCTTACTTTTATTTTTAACCTTGGGGCGGTGCAGCAATTAACTAGCGCGAAGATAAGATGAGGGGAGATACTTAACCACCAAAACAACATCACAACTTCACACTGAACCTGGCAACATGACGCGACTCTCTCTTATTCCCGTGGAAATTCTCTACTCCATATTCAGTCTCCTAAACAAATCCGACGTTTCTCGCCTATCTCGGACGTGCAAACAAATCCACCAACAAGCCACCCCGCGTCTCTGGAGAAGCTACCACAACTACAACCAGCAACCTTACAATGCATTCCTGCGGGCTATAGTCACCAACCCAGGCCGAGCCAAACATGTTGAAGAGCTTCACACATCAAACGTATCCGAAGACGACCCTCGCGAAATCTCAGAGAACGACATCCAATCCTTCCAGTCAGCAGTCTCGAATCTCTCACTCCCCGACGAATTCAAAGATCGCCTAAATGAGGGAATAAAGGAAGGGTACAGCGATCCGATGCTGGCTCTTCTACTCTGCAAGCTACCCAATCTGAAGAATCTATTCCTATACCGACCTGATATCTGCGACCTCATATGTGAGCTTTTTGGCCACGCCAATTCGGGCAAATTTTCTGGGCTTGACAACCTCCGACGATTCTCCATAGAGACAACCGACATTTCCTGTGCTGTGGGAACTGTTCGGGACTATGGGGGCGTTCTTAATATGGCGCACGAGGTGCAAATCGTGCAGCTAAATGATGAGACTATGAGTCCATCCCAATTCCAAGAGGGATCATCCGCAGTTGAGCATCTTCACATCCTTGAGGGTGGTATGGGAACCGATGCCATGCGGGTGTTCACGCAGAGTTGCAAAACGCTCCGCACGTTCAATTATACCTTCGGGAATGTCAATTACTACGATGACTATTTCAAACCGCAGGAGGCCGTGAAAGAGCTCGAGCGTCATAAAGACACGCTCGAGGAGCTCACGATGCTGTACGACGATGACCGGCTAAAGCAGTCCTGGTACGATTTGACGGCTCGTGAATGGTACATGGGGACTGAACTGCAGCAATTCACAAAATTGAAGAAACTGCGGAGTGGCATGCACAGTCTGCTTGGGCTCTTGCATGCACAGTCTGCTGCGATGGAGACATATCCCGCGAATCCTCAGGCTGACAGAGAAAGGCCAGAGTTGACGGATGTGCTTCCGGCGTCAATAGAGCACTTGACCATATTGTACGCCGATGTGCGGATCATTCCTCACTTGCAGAAGGTTGGGGTTGTCTGCAAGAATCAATTTCCCAATCTGAGAAAGGTGATTATCGGGTTTTGCTCCGAGTCAACGGAGAAGGATATTCAATTCGAAATTCCAGGACTAGAGTTGTCGGTGCTGTATCAAACTCCGGAGGAACGAGAGGCCTATGTCTATGGCCGAGAGCCGTATTCGTGGGTTGGGTCTCGGATCTTCAGGGACTGATTTATAGCCATGAAGATGATTACGAACGTTGCTTTTAATATAAACTGCCACTATAGTCATGGAGAACGCTTAGCAGAATAAACATAATTCATAAGATCTTACATTCCTCCACTACTGTCGTCTAAATGGTAAACAGTGGATTGAATTATTCTAGTTAACACAAGCACATAAACCGACATAGTGATTACAAAATCATGTCCTAAAGTTCGCCCTTCTTGACGACCAAAATCCGTATAGTATGGCCAATGCATATGTTATTTATGCATTTCCAGAACTAGTACGCTGATAACAAAACTAACGAGGCCTGTAAACTTTTCCCAGCGTCGGATTTCTGACCATGTCTTGATTTTCTGGGATTGGAAGCATTCGCAGCATGGCTGGAAGAGGGTCTCATCTTTTAGTATTTTGTCTCTGGAGATGCCTGGATACCAGAAATACGTAAAAGTTATCTGGACATTGAAGTATAAAATTGATGAAGCGAGCCTGGATTTTGAGGGTGATGGAGATTGGTCACCGTAATTACTGAACATAGCCTATATCCCGTTGAGGTGTATGAATCGCTTGCCATTTTATTAGCTCGTATGATTTAGCTTGACATTTGCTCATGCTTTTGCCAACATGAATGTCTCCAATGTAGTCTCTCCAATTGATGATGTGTCTAAATCAAGAGATAAAGTCTTGGCCAATGTGTTGTTTATCTTCATCCCAAGCTTCAGTAGAGTGTCACTCGGGGCGGGGTGGGGCGGGCTCTGGCAGGCGATGCCCCGCCCCAGCGGGCTTTGGGGCGGGGTGAGCAATGACCCTTCCTGCCCCAAGGCCCCGGTGGGTTGGGGTGGGTTTTGGCCCAAA